GACGCACACACACACACACACACACTCACACACACACACTCACACACACAGACACACACACACACACACACACACACACACACATAGACGCACACACACACACTCACACACACATCGACGCACCGCACACCACACTCACACAACACATAGACGCCACACACAACACACACAGGCACTAACACACACACACTCACACACACATAGACGCACACACACACACACACACACACACACACACACTCACACACACATAGACGCACACCACACACACACACACACTCACACACACATAGACGCACACACACACACACACACACACACACACACACACACACTCACACACACATAGACGCACACCCACACACACACACACACACATAGACGCCCACACACACACACACACACTCACACAACATAGACGCACACCACACACACACACACAGGCACTCACCACACACACACTCACACACACATAGACGCACACACACACACACACACACACACACACCCCCACACTCACACACACATCGACGCACACACACACACACACACTCACACACACATAGACGCACACACACACACACACAGGCACTCACACACACACACTCACACACACATAGACGCACACACACACACTCACACACACATAGACGCACACACACACACACTCACACACCCATAGACGCACAACACACACACACACAGGCACTCACACACACACACTCACACACACACACTCACACACACATAGACGCACACACACACCACAACAGGCACTCCCACACAAACACTCACACACATGACGCACAACACACACACACACTACACACACTAGACGCACACCACCCACACACACAGGCACTCACACACACACACTCACACACATAGACGCACACACACACACACACCACACACACACATAGACGCACACACACACACACACAGCACTCACACACACACACTCACACACACATAGACGCACACACCACACACAACACACACATAGACGCACACACACACACACCACGGCACTCCCACACACCACACTCACACACACATACACACACCAGACGCACACCCACACACACACTCACACACACATAGACTCACACACACACACACACAGGCACTCACACACACACACTCACACACACATAGACGCACACCCACAACCACACTCACACACACATAGACGACACACACACCCACACAGGCACTCACACACCACTACACACACACATTAGACGCACACACACACACACCACCCACACACACATAGACGAACACCACACACCCACAACACACACATAGACGCACACACACACACACACACACACACACACACACACACACACACACTACACTACACACACACACACACACACACACCACATACTACTCACACACACACACACACCCACACACATAGACGCACACACCACCCACACACTCCACAACACCAGATAGACGCCACACACACACCACCACACACACACATACTAGACGCACACACACACACACCACACCACACCCATAGCACGCACACACCACTCACCACACACAACCCACCATAGCCGCACACACCACACACAACACACTCACACACACCACACGGACACACACACACACCACCAACTCACACACCACACTCAACACCACCCACCACACATAGACGCACACACCACACACACACACCCCTCACACAGATAGACGCACACACACACACACAATCACTACACACATAGACGCCACACACCACACCACACCTCACACACACACATAGACGCAACACACACACACACACACATAGACGCACACACACACAACACACCACACACACATAGACGCACACCACACACACACACAGGCCACTCACCACACACACACTACACACACATAGACGAACACACACACACTCACACACACATAGACGCACCACACACCACCACACTCACCACACACCATAGACGCACACACACACACACACACACATAGACGCACACACACACACACACTCACACACACACAGGCACACACACACACACACAGCCGGCTCCGTGGGAGACCTGCAGCCCACACACTCCCCCCCACCCAGGGGCTGCTCTGCCCCCCCCCCCCCCCCCCCCCCCCCGGTGGCAGGAAGAGCCAAGTGGCCAAAGGGAGCCGCGCCCCCCCGACTCCCCCCGCCAGCCACTCACAAGGGCAGACAGAGCAGCCCGTGTGCTCGCCGAGGCCTGACCACCGGCCTCCACCCGCAGCCGTCGGCGGGCTGACCTCACCCCGGCTGAGTCACCCACAGGCGCGGTGACTGCGTCCGACCCACACGTTGGATTTGTGAGGGAGAAGGAGGCCGTGCCCACACGGATCAAAGCCTCTCAGTCCTTCCAGCAGGCCGCCTGGGGGGCACCCCCACACCCCACACGTCGGGCTGGGCCAGCGGGGCAGCCACAGCCCTGCCCGGCGGAGACCCCTGAGCCCACTCCACCCCGGGGCTGTGTCCGCAGGCTCCCTGCCCACGGGCGGCCTTGCTGGACTCCATGGCAACCGCCCCTGCCACGGCGTGTACAGAGCGGCTCTGTGTGCCATCCGGTCCCACGGGCGCCAGGCGGCGGGCATGGCATGGCGCCTGGCAATCTGGGGACCTGCCATCGAGCGGGCGGGAGACTGAGAACAAACGGGGGGCCGGGCGGGGCACAGACTCATCCCAGAAGCCTGGGCGCCCTCCCCGGGCCTGTCCCCGTGGTCGGCAAACTCATTCGTCCACAGAGCCAAACGTCCACAGCACAGCGACTGACACGCCTTTGGAGAGCCTAATTCTTTAAACCAAAACTACATAGGTATTCTGCTTCTTCTTCGTAGCCATGTCAAACAGGGCACCTAAAAGAATGTTCCATTGTATAATAGCAAAGCCGCCAACACAAAAGAACCACAATTCTTAAACCGATGACAGAAATACCTGTAGGATCTGCAGCGGGTCGGGAAAATACAGGTAACTCTAAGCTTCGAGTGGGTGCCTTGTCACCCGCGCGCGATTTGCAGACGCGACTAGCGCTAACCACTGCACAAGGAGGCCGCTGACCGACTGGCTCACTGAACCGGTGCATGAATTGCGGGCGCCTCCCCCGCCTGCCCGCATCTCCCATTGCCCGACCGACCGACCGACCGACCGACACCCCCACTTCTTCTAAGGCCACTTCTCCAAAATACACTCGCCCTGGCCGAAAACCGACTTCTGCGCACGGGCCACGAAGTTTCAATCGCACTGTACGTGATTGCCCGCACGTGGTATTTTGTGGAAGAGCCACACCCAAGGGGCCAAAGAGCTGCATGTGGCTTGCGAGCCGCGGGTTGCCGACCACTGCACTATCCCATCAGGAGCCATCACAACAGAGTGTGCCCAGCAGCCCTGGGCTGCAGGGGCCATGGGGGTGGGGGGTGCTGGCTGGGGCGTGGGGGACGGTCAGAGAACTGCCGGCGACCACGTGCTGGCCCGGGAGGCCCCTGTGGTCAGCACGGGTGCCCCTGGGCAGGCCCGTTCCCGGGCGGAACCCTGAGAAGCGCCACCACTAGCCCAGTCCTTGCGAAGGCGTATTTGTCAGGCTGGGTGTGCAAAAAACATCCCTTTTTTAAACATGTTTTCCCTTCATTTATGACTCTCAGGTGTTCAGACATCTGGGTGTCGATGTGGATCTGTGCCCTGTCCCTGTCCCTGTCGCTGTCCCTCCCGGGGGAGAGGCAGGGCGGCCTCAGCCAGCGGGACCCTGACCATGTCCGGGGGAGGCCGTGGGAGTGGATCACAGTTGACCAGGATTTTCAAACATCGAGGGGGCGGAGGGGCGCCGGGGCCAAGCGATTTCACGGGAAAATCACTTCGATGCCCGTCCTCCCGGCTCCTCTGCAAGGTCCGTGTGCCTGAGACGGCACGGGAGGGGGCGAGGCTCCCAAACGCAGTGCCCAGGCCAGCACCACCCCGTGCCAAATCCCAGATGGCGCTGGGTTTCGCCAAATGCTGTCCTTGCATCTCTTGGTCACAGCGTTTCTAGCCTTCCATTTGTGTATGTGGTGCATCCTCTATATATATAAGAGGCTAATATGCAAAGTGTCCCCGCGGGAGTTCGACTGGGAGTGCGATTGCTCGCTATGACGTGTGCTGACCACCAGGGGGCGGCGCGGAGCGAAGGAAGGTCCCAGACAGCAGCCGGCAGCCAGGGAAGGGAGGCCCCTATGGGCCCTGATCCCCTGGCCAGGCCTAGGGACTCTACCGGTGCACGAATTTCATGCACTAGGCCTCTAGTAAACAAATATATTGAGAGAGAGAGAGAGATGGGAAGCGTGTGGCCTCTGTGCCTTTCCTCCTTCCAAAGTTCTGATGAGTCACTTTTTCCTTTGTTAGGCAGGGAGTCTGGCTTTATTATAAAAATATTTTTATTGACTTCAGAGAGGAAGGGAGAGGGAGCCAGATAGAAACATCATTGATGAGAGAGAATCATGGATCGGCTGCCTCCTGCACGCCCCCTGCTGGGGACGGAGCCCGCAACCCAGGCATGTGCCCTTGACTGTAATCAAACCCGGGACCTTTTGGTCCGCAGGCCGGTGCTCTATCCACTGAGCCACACTAGCTGGGGCGGGAATCTAGCTTTTAAGGCGATCCCATGTGACGCCATCCAGGGGTCTGAAAGGCCCCTGAGGAAGGCCCACGGGCACCTCCACGCAACACGAGGCGATGGTTATAGGTCGGATGTCCCCCCTGGCCCCAGGCAGCCCCCCCAGGCCCCAGGCAGCCCCCCAGGCCCCAGGCAGCCCCCCAGGCCCCAGGCAAACCCTCCAGGCCCCAGGCAGCCCCTCCAGGCCCCAGGCAAACCCTCCGGCCCCAATTCAGCCCATCCAGGCTCCAGGCAGCCCCCCCCCAGACCCCAGGAAGCCCCCCAGACCCCAGGCAGCCCCTCCAGGCCCCAGGCAGCCCCCCAGGCCCCAGCAACCCCGCCCGCGGCCCGACCTACCTTCATGAAGAACAGCCTCCTGCAGGCCTTGCCCCGGTCACTCCTGGTCCCCGGGAGGGCCGCGTCCTCCGACGTGTCTGCCAGCTGCATGGGCGAGTGGAAGAGCCCCTCTCTGCCCGCCTCCGGGCCCCTCTCGTCGGGGCTGGAGCCCTCGTCCCCGGCCTTGGCGTGGCAGAGGAACAGGGACCGCGAGAGGGACCGGAGCTTGGCGGGTCTCCGGCTCCGGGCGGCGTGGCCGAGCGGCTCCATGCGCAGCGGGGAGGGGAGGCCGCCCTTCTTCCCCTCCGGGGCCCGGGGCGCACGGGGGGCGATGGGGCTGGGCCTGGCCACCCCCTCACAGGTCCCTGGAGGAGAGAGGAGGCAGGAAGGACAATGGGACCCCTGATGACAGGGGCCTGCCCTGCCCTGAGCTGAGCTCGGGGCCGGGACACGCAGAGCAGGACAGATGGAGACCGTCCTTCTGTCCCCTGGCCCGTCCCTGCTGTCGCCAGATGGAGCTCAGGGACCTCAGTGGTTACCGCCCTGTCCACTCCCAGGCTCAGGGAGGCCAGAGCTTCCCAGATGGGGAAACTGAGGCACATAGAGAAGGGAAGCGCATGCCCAGAGCCCCAGGAGCCTGTGGGGGGAGCCAGCGTTCATCACAGGAGGGGCTGGTGGGTCAGGCAGGCCTGGGCCCGTGGCCCATTTAAACTTAAATCCACTCTTCAGATAAAAGCTCACAGGAGGCCTGGCTCAGTGGATAGAGCATTGGCCTGCGGACGGAAGGGTCCCGGGTTCGATTCCCGGCCAAGGGCACATGTCCAGGTTGCGGGCTCGATCTCCAGTGCAGGGCGTGCAGGAGGCAGCCGATCCGTGATTCTCTCTCCTCATGGATGTTTCTCTATCTCCCTCTCCCTTCCTCTCTGACATCAATAAAATCTCTCTATATAAAAGCCTAATGTGCAAATTGTCCCCGCGGGAGTTCGACCGGGAGACGAATCGCTTGCTCTGATGTGCGCTGACCACCAGGGGGCGGCGTGGAGTGGAGGAAGGCCCCGATCGGCCCTGATCGCCGGCCAGGCCTAGGGACCCTAACCGTGCACGAATTTCGTGCACCGGGCCTCTAGTAAGAAATAAATTTTAAAAGCTCACAGAAAATCCAGGCGATGGCACAGGTTGGAGGGCAAAGGGGAGACTGAGTCGCACCTGCCTGGCCCCTGCTCCGCCCTGGTGACCCTGCAGCCCCTCAGAGACACCCCAGGACTCAGGAGCCCGTGGGAAGGCCCCGCATCTGGCCCTTGGTGCCCAGGCCAGGAGCCCACGATGAGGAAGGTGGCAGCCTGGCCGGATGCTGAGCTGCGGGTTGATGATGTTGACAAGGGGAGCTGTGCGGGCCCGTGGCCAACCTGTGTGCCCGCCCTCGGCCTGCGTCTCCCCGGCCAGGGCCCTCAGCACCTCCCCATCCCCACTGGCTCCCCCTCTCCCGGCCCCAGGGCCCCAGGCTGGTCCGCACAGTGGGGCGGCTCGCTCAGCGGCAGGCTCAGCATGGCCAGCAGGCCCCGCCCACGATCCCGTTTCCATAGGCGGGTGGCAAAGGGGCCTGTGGCCGCCCCCAATGGAGCTCTGACTGGGACCCAAGCCACAGAGCTGCCCCGCGGCCAGAGTGTCACACCGCGGGCGCCCTGGCCATGTCCGCTGCCTGTGTGCGGCCAGCAGCGATGGCAGAAACACAGACCTGCCAGCCCCTTGAGTGACAGCCCTTCTCAGAGCGTCCTCCAAACCAATGCTTCTTTTTTTTTTTAATCCTCACCTGAGGGTATTTTTCCATTGATTTTTAGGGAGAGTGGAAGGGAGAGGAAGAGACAGAGAGAAACATCGATGTGAGAGAGAGACACACCGATGGGTCGCCTCCTGCATGTGCCCCGCCAGGGCCCGGGCCGGGGAGGAGCCTGCAACCGAGGTCTGTGCCCTTGACCAGAATCGAACCCGGGACCCTTCGGTCTGCAGGCCGACGCTCTATCCACTAAGCCACAGTGGCCAGGGCCCAAAGCTTCTTAAGAGATGACCGTGTTTCAATACCCAAGTTGCACAAATTTATTATTTTCTGTATCAGCCTTTTGTTCACCAACCAGCTACAGTGGCCAGCGGCAGGGAACCGGAATGAGTGAGTGCCTGTCTGCGAGCCTACTACGTGCAGCAGTGCTCCTGCCACGCCCACACTGGAGCAGACCGGCACCGTTACACACGCAGGGCCACCCCCCGGCCTCCAGCTCTGGCCAGCAATGCCCTGTGATGACTAAGCCAGCATTCTCAGCAACGGCTATCGCAGAACTTCACTCCCTTTCTTTTTTAAAAAATATATTTTTATTGATGTCAGAGAGGAAGGGAGAGGGAGAAAGAGAGAGAGAAATATCCATGATGAGAGAGAATCTTTGGTCAGCTGCCTCCTGCACGCCCCCCACTGGGGATCAAACCTATGACCCGGGGCATGTACCCTTGACCGGAATCGAACCTGGGACCCTTCAGTCCGCAGGCCGACGCTCTATCCACTGAGCCAAACTGGTAGGACAAAACTTCTCTTTCTTTTTTTTTTAATATATTTTATTGATTTTTTACAGAGAGGAGGGGAGAGGGATTGAGAGCTAGAAACATCGATGAGAGAGAAACATCAATCAGCTGCCTCCTGCACACCCCCCACTGGGGATGTGCCCGCAACCCAGGCACACGCCCTTGACTGGAATCGAACCCGGGACCCTTCAGTCTGCAGGCCGACGCTCTATCCACTGAGCCACACCGGCCAGGGCAAAAATTTCACTTCTTAAAAAAGAGACTTACTTGTCTCCTCCTCATCCTATATAATAAAAACCTAATATGCTAAGTGTCCGGTCGACTGGTCGGCCATTCAACCAATCGAAGCATAATATGCTAACGATATGCTAAGGCCACTCAACCGCTCGCTATGACGTGCACTGACCACCAGGGGGCAGATGCTCTGACTGGTAGGTTAGCTTGCTGCTGGGGTCCGGCTGATCGGGATTGAGCCAGAGGAGCCAGACATGCCCTGGAGCCCTCCTGCCCCCCGCCCAGCCCCGATCGTGCACTGGTGGGGTCCCTAGGCCTGGCCTGCACCCTCTCACAATCCAGGACCCCCTGGGGGATGTCGGAGAGAAGGTTTCAGCCCGATCCCGCAGGCCAGGCCAAGGAACTCCACTGGTGCACGAATTCGTGCACTGGGCCTCTAGCAAACAGATAACATCACCTCCTTCCTCACAGACGCATACAAGGTACCAGGGAGCACCTCCCCCAACTCGCCACTGGATATACAATCCCCCCACAGCCACCGTGCACACAGACCTCCTGCAGGGAGCGCTCGCCCCACCCAGGCCAGTGCACCCCCGTTCCCTGGGCCCTCCCCAGTGCTTGTGGGCGGAGCAGCAATTCCAGAAACAACCATCCCTTACTCAGAGCTCAGGGAGCCACGCTCCGTTCTAACTGCCTCACCAGTTGGTCCTCACAGGCTCCGTCGAGATCCTCGTTTCACCAGAAAATACCACCGGGGCACAGAGAGGTTCAGCCACTTCCTCCAGGTCACACAGCCCCGGACAGTGGACCCATGTGGGGGGTGGGGGGAGGGAAGGGGGTAGGAGAGGGTGATTGGTGCCACCCCCTCCAGCCGCCGGCCACAGGCCAGAGCCCATGTGCATCCTCAGCTCCTGGAGCCGTGGCCCAGCTCCTGCCACATCTTCTGTGCCTTGTGGGTCCCTTCCGGAAGCTTCTGGGGATGCCCGGCGGAGGCTTCCCATATGGCTCAGCCCAGAGGTGAGCGCTGCCACCTCCCAGCAGTGGATCTCAGGGATCCGCCTTCCCAGGAAGCCACCCTGCCCCTCTCGGGGACCCTTCCCCCAACCACGGCCGTGCTCGCTGTCACACATCCCCCGGACACCAGGGCTGGCGGGTCCCGCTCACCCGGGAGACCCTGCAAGGGGGTAAGGACAGACTCATCGTCTCAGTCCTCGGGGCGCTTCCTGCTGTGATTGCCATCTGCACAGGAGGCGCCCCGAAACGGACAGGGCTGGGGGCACGGACATGGAGAATGGAGAGCCCCCCCAGCGGGGAGAGTGACAACTTCCAGTCGGCCACCTCCCCAGCCTCCCTCCTCCCTCCCCCCCAACCGTCAGGTGTTCACTCAGCCAGCTCCTGGGAACAACGCAGTCTGCCACTAGGCCGGCGACGCTAACCCACGCCCGCCCCCCCAGGTTAACATCTGGATGCAACGCACTCATTCGGCCCGGCCGGTGTGGCCCAGTGGTTGAGCCTCAACCTATGAACCAGGAGGTCAGGGTTCGATTCCAGGTCAGGCACATCCCCAGTGGGGGGCGTGCAGGAGGCGGCCGATCCAGGGTTCTCTCTCATCATTGATGTTTCTCCCTCTCCCTCTCCCTTCCCCTCTGACATCAATAAAGACAGATTTTTAAAAAATGCACTAGCTCGCGAGCTCTGGGCGGGCACACAGCGGGTGGAGAGAGGGAACTCGTGGACGGCCCGTGTTTTAGTTCCTGAATCCCCGACGGCCCCACATCAAAGGCAACGTTGAAAGTGCGGCCGCTCCAGCCCAGCGGGAAACTCTGGCTTGAACTGAGGAGCGACTCGGAGACAGGAGGTGAAGGGAGGGGATGCAAGATCCCTTCCTGCAAATTCTACATCTTCTTTTGTTCTATATATATTTTTATTGAATTCAGAGAGAGGAAGGGAGAGGGAGAGATAGAAAAACATATTTTTTAAGTATATTTTTATTGATGTCAGAGAGGAAGGGAGAGGGAGAGATAGAGAGATAGAAACATCCATGATGAGAGAGAATCATGGATCAGCTCCCTCCTGCACGCCCCACACTGGGGATCAAGCCCGCAACCCGGGCCTGTGCCCTTGACCAGAATCGAACCCGCAACCCTTCAGTCCGCAGGGCAACGCTCTAGCCACTGAGTCGAGCCGCCTGTGGCAAATTTCACCTCTTCTTCATACAGGCTCTGAGTACGGTATCTCACATCACACGTTTCTCAGCACCTGTTTCCATTTTGAATGGAAACATCCTATCTAATAAAAGAGAAACATGGTAATTAGCGTACGACCGCTACCCTTCCCGTTGGCTAATCAGGGCAATATGCAAATTAACTGCCAGCCAAGATGGCGGCCGGCAGCCAGGCAGCTTAAACTGAACATGAGGCTTGCTTGCTTCAGTGACGGAGGACTCCAACGTTCCCCGCCTGCCTTGCCGGTCTCTGAGCTTGCAGTTTGAAACATTGTAACAAATACAGAAGCTAAACAAAACCCAGAAACCTGCTTTCAGCCAGCTGGGATCTCAGAGCTG